GATAAAATTTATTTTTTGTATTCTAATTTTTAAGTCGTAAAATATTGTTTTCGTATGAGACCATGTCTCACAATAAAGATCTTTGACTTTGACTTTGAGAAAACTATTTAATAACTTACCTCATAAAACATATCAGGCTTGCTGAAATCCCCAAAAGGCTCGGCCTCCTTCAATAACGGGTCAGTCAGCTTGATCCTCAACATGACTGCGAACCTGGTCAGCCAGAGTTGTAGGGAGCGCGGCGTATGTTTTGTGGGACGATGCATGCGACCTACACCTGGTTGGAAGGTATGTTGGATTGAAATGGTGAAGGTGGAAGTCATGGTGAACTTTTACGTTAATTTGAGATTTAACATAACATCGCACCTTTTTATCCCCGAAGGGGTAAGCAGCAAAGGTGCACATTACGGCACTTAATGCCTTCGTACAATGTAACATCCACTTTTCACTATTTATGTTATGTTATGAGTCCCATCTCCCATGTAATAGGGGGTGAGCCTATTGCCGTATACCGGGCACAATACCAGACTCCGTGCTTCTACTGACAATTAAAAAAAACCAGTCCTAACACTTTGCCCGACCCGGGAATCGAACCCGAAACCCCTTGTCCGGAAGTCGCACTTGCGACTACAAGGCCAACGAGGTAGTTAATTTCTATTAAGGTAGTTAATTTAAGATAAAGAAATGTCAAATAATGCCAATAATAATATTATGTTACGGCTCGCTATTCCCTTCTTACTTGCAACAATACATATTATATTATTATAACTTACTTATAAGCACAGTGAGACACGCTAATTTTATGTAAATGTAATATGTATATATGAGCTCCAGTTTAATTCGAAACTAGTCGAGCACCGCATACGGTTTACTTAATACGTAAATAAGCCGTAATTTTTTCGCGGAATACGTACGTGTAAACTAGCAAATAAATCAAGATAGAAGTAAAAAATTAGTTGCCTGCTATGTAAAAACTCTTTTTTAAATTTTGAGAGAAAAAGTTAGTTAAACTAGCTTCTGCCCGCGACTTCGTACGCGCAATCCCCTTTTCTCCCGTTCCCGTAGGATTTTCAGGACTTTTCTCTGTCATAAGAACCTTCTCCTGACAATAATAAACACAACAAAAAAAAAATATCAGCCAAATCGGTCTAGCCCTTCTCAAGTTTCATTATTATATATATAAGATAAGATTTTCTACCTTGTCCAGCAGCACTGATGAGTACATGAGTGAGGTTGATAGCTGCCCTTAAGTATCCAGTGCGTAGTAGTTCCCTCAGCCCGGCTTCGTCACGACTCACATGTTCAGCCCTCACCACTCCTCGGCTACCGGCTGAACTTACTCCTAGATACTTCACTGCTACTTCTTGAAGTGCATCAGCCTATGAATAAAAATTAACAACATTCACAGACAGAGAACCACAACACAAGCGTTGTTTCATGCCAGCTTTTTGTCAGCCTGTGGTTTTGTGTAGGTATGTAGCCGTGTAGAAAGTTTTTTTTTTTTTTTGGGATAACCCAGTAAATGAACAGAGAAATTACGTAACGGTAAGCAATTGGCGTCGGGCCTCCGATAACCTCACTCACAAGACGAAACACAATGCAAGCGTTGTTTCATGTCAGTTTACAGAGGCTGCAGTATCACTTCAGTCGACCCGACTTATTCGTGTCAAAGTATGGCTCTCCCATACATAAGTAATGAGGATGTTAGTTAAAAAATTTTCTTTTACTTACTAATTCTTCTTCGAGTATCAATCCTGGCATTGTTAGAACTTCTCTCTCAGGGAAGAATGAGCCTTTGGGTGAAGATTGGGCCTGTCAACAAAAACAATGTATCATGGTCATCACTACAAGATGTTGGAGGAATTGAAAAAATAATGGAAATGGTTGAATCGATTGCCAGAAATAGACGTTTCTAATTGCACGCCACTAACTATCAGGTGGGCCGTGTACTTATTTTGCCAGTGTTGAGGCATAAAAAAAAGGCGTGATTAGCAGCTCCACATATTCTTACTTTTTACAACTTTTAAAAAAAAAATAATCTTTAATTATGTAGTATATATTATTAAACAAATTAACACAGAACACACATGTCTAACACTTTTTTTACAATCTAATTGCGAGACTAAATTGTCAATTTCATCACAGCCTGTCTACAATTCAACCAAAGTCAACTAAATAAATAAGTACCTTCATCAATGTTTTCTTGGCTTCATCATTTGGTATCCAGGCATCTCTTCTCCTGTCTGCTTCCTTATCTACAGGCTGGTTCTGCAAAAAATATATATATCATCAATAAGTAACTATAAATTCTATTTTAATCAGAAGGTAGTTTAAAGTCAGTTAGCAAAAAAATTTCACTTGGAATGTTGAATTTACTCATGCTTAACTCGTCGAGTACCGGTTTTGTAGACACAATTATAGAACAATAGGTTGCGGTCACCCGTGACCGCTTGGTGTTTGACAGTTTAATGTCTTTGTATATGTATCTGTTTTACGTCTCAAAAGAATTCAGTTGTGTAAACTGTTCATCTATTTGTCAAATCTTTAGTCAGCCATATGACAATGGGACTTTATTAATTTGATGAATATGATTATAACAAATACAAAGAGTTTCGATTCGTGTCTCAAACAATAAAGGATGCTTACTTTGATGCTCAGTCCTTCCATGGCTTCAGCAAGTACTGTTGGGCTAGCAATACTGGTTTTTGTTGGTACAATCTGTGGCTCAGGGCCTATAGTGTCGAAGAATGTTGACGGATCTGGTAAACTCGCCGCCGGCACCGCAGTAGACCCACTCACAGTAGGCAAAACATTTGTAAAAGTCATCTCCTCTGACGTCTTATGTTGTGTAAATGAAACCGACATATTTTGAGGAAAAAGATTATTTGTCGTCGTTTGATTACCTAAAATATTTAAAGCAACTCATATATTTTACATAAGAATCATAAAACAACAAGTTTTAATATAAAAATATGCAGAAAATGCAACCTAAACGTTACCTTCGGGCTCGCCCAAGTAAATGCTTTGTACCATATCCGATGGCGACGTCCCGATTTCGTCGAAAAACTGGGACGCGGGTGGTACTTCCTTATCACCGAAATATTGACTCAGTGACGGTTTATTATCCATTTTTTCTGTTTATAGTTCACTTTTATCACTAAAATACCTCGCAGATAACAAATTCTGTGACATGTACTAAAGTTGACAATATTGACATTTAACTTTTGTTGCTTAAAAATCTACGTTCTGCTACACTTTCGTTTGAAATGTTATATTTAAAATTATTAAATTCAGATAAATTAATTTAATTCAGATTTAATGTAACGAAAGTTATATTACCAGAAACTTATAATATTTGTATATGGGACCAAGAAGTAAAACAAGAATTTATTCTTTCTTATACTGGAACGCACCTATGAAACCGTTGTCAAAATATGACATCATGACATTTCTGATAAGTCAACTGTCAAACAGTCGCCTACTAATTTACGCTACTTTACAGTGACGAAAATTAAATAAATTTTCCTTGGAAATCTTATTGGAAACTTCATTTGTCCTCAGTCATCAAATCAGGTGCGTTGAGTAATGTTACGTCGACAATAAACACGTTAATAAACCTTCATGGAGACTATAAACCATCCATTTTTGTACACTTGGTCAACTGTTAGTATGTAGTTCGTGGGTCCAACTTATTATCGTGCTTTTTTATCAAAACGGTGTTTTATCTGTTTGTATTTTGTAGGCACAAATGACGAACCAGGCGTCACCGGTTGAGGAGCAGGAGAAACTACTGGATGAAGCCTTGAATGTAGTCAAAGTGCAGGTTTGTTTTTAATTATTATCTAATTGTTCTATAGACAATTTGTGGGCGTTATGTACGTGGTTTCCGCTTTTTTTTAACACGTTTATTCTGTTTCCCGCGATATTTTTTCTTTTTTTATTTCTCAACTATAATTTTTTTTTAATTATAATGTGACAATGAGTAGGTACCTTTGCAAACAGGTTTTTAGGTGGAGTTTATTCATAAAACTTTTTCAAGTTCAGTTGTGCCCACCTATGATGAACTAATTTAATTTTATGGAACAGGTTATTGTTTTAAAAATATATCATACATGTTCATAGAATCATTTGTAATTTATTTCTTGAAATGTTTATTTATGTTTTTAAATTATTTTTAGTTAATATATTTCTGTATTCATATATTACTAGTTACTAGAGCTCTATTTCACCCACTCTGCTCGGCTGCTATTGATTGTAACATGATGCGTTATAGCTTCTTTGATAAATTAACTATACAATACATAAAGAATTTTCAGACCAGTAGTTTTGGACATTAGCATGCACAAACACTCTTCAGTTTTATAAAATAAAATATAAAAGATTATCCTATGCTTAAATATAACAAAATTTATTTTCATAACATTCAGAAATGTAATAAGAATCACTTAATTTATGTAGACTTTAGAGCCAAATAAGACTATTTTTAATAGGACTTATTTTTTTAAAATATTTGTTGGGCTGATGTTTGTCCACTATCTTGCCTAGTGGTAAGCGATGATGTGGACTATGATGGAGCATGTTGTCCCATAAGCAACCTATTCACTCGGGCCTTGAAGATATCCAGGTTATACCGTACAGAAAATACAGACACTGGCAAAGGATTCCACTCCTTAGGACTTACAAACACGGGTTTTTGATGCCATGGAAAAACTGAAAATATCCTAAAAATATCCAGTACTTAGGAGGCCTAGTAACTCACTCTGGTATTATCATACTGTTTTTTTTGCAGGCATTTCAAATGAAGAGATGCCTGGACAAATCCAAGCTGATGGATGCCTTGAAGCATGCCTCCACTATGCTGGGAGAGTTGAGGACTTCACTACTATCACCTAAGAGCTATTATGAGCTATGTATCCTTTTCTGAAAAAGTTATGATTGCTGTTTTCAGTTACATAATAAAAAAAGAATTATCAAAACGAAGATATCGGCAAACAAACATATGAATTGAGAACCTTCTCCTTTTTTGAAGACCTTTGAAAATTGTTGAAAATCATCCCCTAAAGTTCATACAAAAGTAGTCTTTAAATATTGGAAATAAGGTCTATAATGTTGTTAGTGGAGAGCAGTCACCGGTGACCGCTTGGGGATATATGGGTTAAAAAGAGTTTTTTTAAATTGTTATGTTGAAACTGAACTGTATACTTTACTGTGTAACAGTTTGTGTTAATACTGCATTGTTCACATAGTGGCCATTATGGCACAGGATTGGATTTATTAACCCACACATCCCCAAGCTGTCACCGTTGACAGCTCTCCCCTAACTATATTATAGACCTTATTTCCAATGTATAGAGACTACTTTTGTATGAACAAATTTAGGGGATTATTTTCAACGAGTTAACATACAATATACATACATACATAATCTCACACCTGTCTCCCATGGGGGTAGACAGAGACTATGGAATGCTATAGGCTCTACTTCTTCATGTAATAAATATTTGTATGACAATAAATAAACATACATATTGTAAGTGTGGGAGAGCCATGCTTCGGCACGAATGGGCCAGCTCGACCTGAGTGATACCAAAGTCTCACAGACAACCGACGTGGAACAACTCTTGCGTTATGTTTCGTCGTGTGAGTGAGGCCCAATTACCCCTGTATCCCCAATCTACCCAATCCCTTGTAAGGCCTCTGGTGTTCCAGGTGTCTATGGGCGACGCCGATTACTACCCATCAGGTGATCCGTCTGCTGCATAAAAAAAATGTGTTCTTGCAATTCTGCATTTTTTTTATGGAATAGGAAGCAAACGAGCAGATGGATCACCTGATGGTAAGCGATCAGCGCCGCCCATGGACACCCGTAACACCAGAGGAGTCACAGGTGCGTTGCTGGCCTTTTAACTCGTCGAGTACCGGTTTTGTAGACACAATTATAGAACAATAGGTTGCGGTCACCGGTGACTGCTTGGTGTTTGACAGTTTAAAAAGGAATACGCATATCAGGGATTAAAAGAAAACAGCTTATCTCTAAGGTCTAATTTGGCTTGAGGTTAGGTAAGTGTCACATGAAACTTAATAAATGAGCATGTAACATAATAAGTTGGTTTAAAATTTCCGTATCCATAGCAGTATAGAATTTCTTATAGTAATCTTAATACCTACTTGTACTTTCTTGAGATTTCTCTTGTTTATATTCCATAAGGAAGGTAAATAAAACTTTTGATTTAAAATACGTATTAGGTACATAGATCTGTGTTCTTTTACATAAAAAACAGAATTGAAGATTTTTATGTCTATTGGACTCCTACCAAAACATAAAATAAATCTTTGAGTATTCTTTAAAAATCGTACGTTTTTTGTTTGTCGTAGGTACGTTTACAAACTTGCACTGAGGTATTGGAAAACTCCAGGGCCGTCTTGGACCACGCTGGCGCCCTTGCGCACACAATAATTCAGAGCCCTTGTGGAATGTTTTTTTTAACATTATCACACGCTACGATTTTCTCTTGTATCGTGCGTGCATTTACAAACATACAAGTTCACATACACATGACACCCAGACCTAGGGTTGCCAACTTTTTTAGAAGAAATAGAGTATATCTGATTTTAAAGGAGGTAAATAAAGAGTACGGACTTCAAAAAAGAGTATCATACATTTTGTGCTTTAAAATTTTTTTTTTTCGTTCTTTTTTTGTCATCAGTCTAATTAGCTCGATAGGCAGGGTGTTGCTCGATGTCTATACTTCAATTTAGTCCAGTACTTTTATAACAGAGTGGTATTGTGTCAAAAATTTAAATATTCGATTAGTTTAAAAAAAGATTTACAAAACACTGCACTAAAGTATTTTCGAAATGATTACTTATATTACTGTTAAGCTGAAAAAATCTTTGGACCACTGTTAATAGCAGGATTATGGATTAAGATTAAATAGCAGACTTATTATTCTGATCATAGGTTTTTTGCATATTATTACAGACTGGTACTAGTTAAGTAAACATTGTATTAAAAAGAGTATTTTAGCGTCCTCTATTAGTGTAATAGATTGTAGAGTACGCCTACATGGTACAGAGGACAATACTCTATTTTAGAGTACTGTTGGCAACCCTACCCAGACCCGAAACAACAATTTGTAGATAAAAAACAAAATTCGCACCAATTAGATGAAAAAAATGTTTTTCAATATTAACCCCTTAACCCCTAAAAATCAGATATGGCAATAACAGATGAGCTTCGTCACCTAGAGCTGTACCTTCTCGAGGAGTTCCAGAAAGGTCGCAAGGTCGCCGACCTGTATGAACTTGTGCAGTATGCTGGGAACATCGTGCCACGACTGTACCTGCTCATCACCGTTGGACTGGTGTATATCAAGACTAATTCTAATTTGAGAAGGGATTTGCTTAAGGTAAGACTTAGATAAGTATAGTTAATTACGATTGATATTGATAAATAATCTCCGATTCATCCTTGGTTTTTAACAGAAATCTAATCTAATAATAGAACTGATGACGTAAAAAATCTACATAAATCTAAAAGTATGGAATTGGCCGTAAACAATAGGGTAGTTTCCTAAATTTTATTTTAATGTCCGTCTGGTAGATTAATTTAAAACTTTAGACAAGGTTTTCTTTTCTCACAAAGTTAAATACTTTCGACGATATATTAAATTGAAATATCATGTGACGTCGCAGCGTGCCACATTTTTAGCACGTTATGACGCAACGACTTCAACTCCTAAACTTACCGCCATTATTTTTATCTAAGTACTAGCTGTTACCTGGGACTTCGTTTGCGTGAAATTATTCATATTTCTTGTTAATACTTTTTTGACGCGACAACGTGTTGATTGTCGAGGCGTATTTGAGAGCTAGTATGAAACGGAACGTTTATTGTCTACTCAAGATGGCGATTGCGGTTTGTCTGTCAATGTCATTAAAATGAATTAATAAAACGAAATAAGGTCCGTAATCCGAATTTTGCGGATATATGTTGTCGACTCGAAATCGATATTTTTTTATGTTTTGTTATTCGGGTATTGTTTCGATCGAGTCTACCGTACCCCTTGACGAAATTATTAATATAGATAGAAGATTGCAAATTAATACGAGAATATAAAAAATACGTGTCTAATATTTTTTCATTATCTAACTGACGGACAAATTTTTTAATTTTGTGACCCTGGAAACTCACACCAAGTAACATTTACCCAGAAAACCAATTGTGAGATTTCGTTGAAAAAATAAAAAAATTGACAGAAGTAACGATTTTTCGAATAAAGTAAATAAATATAACTTTCTTGAGACATACAAGATTCATTATTTATATTTTTCGGTTTACTCAAAATACACACGTAATTATTTGACACGCGACGCAGCGACTGTCGCGCTGCTACAGAGGCCTTAGTACGAGTTTGTTTTTCATTTAAAATAATCGAAACGAGACGGCGTTCTGTGTTCTCGTTGGTTGGTTCATTGGAGCCGGCCAATCGCAACGCGCCGGTCAATCGTCGTGGTGGCCCGGAGGTTTAAGACGCCCACTTCTCATGCATGAGGGTGCGGGTTCGAAACCTACCAACGGCAAGTACCAATGGGACTTTTTCCGAGTTCTATGTACTTTCTAAGATTATTTAGACACCACTGACAAACGGTGAAGGAAAAACATCGTGAGGAAACCTGGACTTATAATTTCTAATTATAAGTTTGAAATCGCCAACTCGCATTGAGCAAGCGTGGTGATTAACGCTCTAACCTTCTCCGTGTGAGAAGAGGCTTTGCTCAGCAGTGGGCATTAATAGGCTGTTGATGGAATCGCAGAACGCGTACTCGTTACGATTACTTTAAATGAAAAAGAAACTCGTACTAAGGCTTCTGAGCGCCGAACGCGTACTCGTTTCGAATACTGTAAACGTAAATCAAATTCGTACTAAGACAGGCCTCTGACTACTATCGCCGCGTCGCGGGTCGTAGAATGCTGCTAATGAATTTCAGCTTACTAGTCTAGTAAGTCGTCGAATAATTACGTCGTATAATTTACGAAGTATAATAATTACGTCGAAAAACATAATAATTAAATATAATGAAATAATACAAAATTCAACAGTAATCAAATAGGTACATTTTCAAAAAAAGTTTTTGTTAACTATTGACAATCAACTTTATTAACAATTTACAGGTGTAGGTGTTGTATTATTAGCTCAGCCCAATCAGTCAACTCCTTCCTTCTCTAACCAAACCCCATTTTGTAGGACCTGGTAGAGATGTGCAGAGGAGTCCAGCACCCGCTCCGAGGTCTGTTCCTGAGGAACTACCTGCTGCAGTGCACCAGGAACGTACTGCCTGATACTGCTGAGGCACAGAACGAGAATGAGGGTGTTGTGAGTAAATTAATTATGTTTTAAAATGTATTCGTAACTGTTTGACGAGGCACTTCGATTAGTTTCAAGCCATGCTTTTTTTTTGAGGGAGCAAATCATCCAATGACTTCTCCCGGCCGAGTGAGGCAAGAGGGAGTGCCAGACTCTTACTGACTAAAAACCACCCCGTTCCTACTCTTGCACGTCGAGCCGGAGCCCCGGCAACCCGTTATATCTTCCGCGGCTCCGTATCGGCATCAGCCCTGTTGGGCCCCATCTGTTCAAGTCAAGCTTGGGGCTCATAGTCTTCATATGACTAGCATTGCGCTGCTGACACGCGAAAACTACATTTTAACATATTTTTGTGTCACTGACAAATAAAGGTTGTATGACAGTCGAGAGTACAGTTTAAAAATGATCGAAATGTTAGTGGTGATAATCGAAACAGTTTTAAGAATGATATCATAATGACTGCCTCGTTGGCCGAGTGGTTGCAAATGCGACTGCCGGGCAAGATGTCTCGGGTTCGATTCCCGGGTCGGGCAAAGTATTATTGGGTTTTTAAAAAAATCTCAGTAATAGCACGGGGTCTGGAATTGTGCCCGGTATATGGCAATAGGCTCACCCCCTATTACATGAAACTCATAACACAAATAGTGAAAAGTGGGCGTTACATTGTACAGTGGCATAATGTGCACCTCTGCCTACCCCTTCGGGGATAAAAGGCGTGATGATGTCATGCATAATGATTCTTGTTGGTGTCATTTTAATTAATACACACATTCTGTCCCCAGGTAAAAGATGCTATTGACTTTGTGCTGATGAACTTCGCTGAGATGAACAAGCTGTGGGTCAGGATGCAACATCAGGGACATTCCAGGTAAATATTACGTAACCTTACACTTTAGTCGTGTGAGGGTAGGCAGAAGGAGTGCCTACTGTGATTCTTGTGTACTTTTTTGGATAATGAAAGTTGATTAATGATTTTTTTAATTACAATTTTTAGTTAGTTAGTTAGACTGCCTCGTTGGCCGAGTGGACGCAAGTGCGACTGCCGTGCCGTGGGATCGATTCCCGGATCGGGCAAAGTATTACTGGGTTTTTTCAAAAAATCTCAGTATTAACACGGAGTCTGGAATTGTACCCGGTATATGGCAATAGGTTTTTTTTTTTTTTTTTTAATCTTACATTTCTTATTCTCCACGGACTCTTGTCCGTGCCCTTGTCATTCCATTACATTTTCTTTTAATTTACAGTCAAAATTACTTGTTACAAAAATCTTACGTGCTACATTAACCACATTTTTTTTTTTTTCACAAAGAAGGTTGTGTCTAAATCTAATATTTATATATACACAATACATGTTTTATTACATTTACATTAACCTTACTGGATCGGCCCACACGCGCGATGAGCGAGCCGACCTGCTCCAGCAGAAGGCGCCCGTTCACGAGCATGACGTGAGGGCCAGCAATCGATCCGATCAACCATTTCGTAGGGAACGGAGCGACCCAGTCCACAGCGCCACCGACTGTAGAACATTTAAGAATGCATGACGTCTGCTCACGCAGCAGTAAGCCGATTCCAGTAGTGCCAATGGATTTTGTCAGTCTTATTGATAAAATTTACATTACGTTACATTATATTTACTACATTTTAACATTATTAAACACACACAAATATAGAGGTATATTAATGTCACGCTTGCATCACAATTTAAGCTTACAGCGAGCCCTCCCCACCCAAAAGAGCGCCCACTACCGCCATGTCCCTGTTGCTGATAGCCATTTTCAAGTTATAGTCCAGGATCCCCCGCTCACTCTCACCCACCGCTCGTCTGATTAATTTGCTGATCGCGTCGTCACTGATATTCGTGTAGTAAACACAGCTGTTTGTGTGACGGGATATAGCTACCACGGCGTGCGATACACTGTCGTGTATCCGCTGTTTCTTCTCCGCTGTATTCACAACAACCACTGCCGCGTACGAAAGCCCCTGAGCCTCGTGTATTGTGAGTACGCGTGATCCCACACCCGATCCGTATCCCTGGTTTTTAAGGGATTCCTTTTCTACCTGAGTGTGTACCAGGTATAACGTGTTCGGAGGAGATTTGGGTATTCGCGACCCTGAGAAGCTTTTTAACTCAAGGGATCTCACACCCGACGCGGACGAATATATGCCACTGTACACAGTACTGAGAGCATATGCCACATCCATAGGGTTTCTGTGAGTGCAGAGAAGTTCTTGGCTAATAGCCGCGACGTGCGTAGGGCGGTTGTAAATGAGGGGGAAGAGGTTGTCTCGGTCAATGAAGGGAAGTTGATTTATGTCACCAATCAGCAGAACTTCCTTGGCCCGAGTTATTCGGGCCGCCATCACAATGGCCCCAAAGTGATTCATGAGAGCCTCATCAACCATGATTCGGTGGCAGCTCTCTTGCTCTTTTAATCCGTTCACTAAAATGGATGCCATTGTTCGGACTTTGGATTTGACTAATCCTCCGATTCGGCAGGATAGTTTGCCTCTGAGGTCATTTGCTGCTTCAGTTGTTGTGGTGACGATTAAATCCCTTTCCGCTTCGAATTCATTTATTATCCATGTAGTTTTGCCGCATCCCGGCACTCCATTTGTCCAGTGAAATGTCGGGGCATCCCAGCCCCCAAAGTCCACGCCGCCCGGCCCAGGCTCCGAAATGGATCCCACCATTTCCAAGATCCGATCCTCCAACATAATCCTGGTGCACCCGGCAACTACCACTAAGGAGTCTTCAGGAGGAGTTTTAAATTTCACAACTCCCCGTTTATCCGATTCCTTCTCATCCAGAGACACAAATCCTGCGGTGGCGTTGTAAGCTGCCATACTACGACTTATAGAAGCTCCTCTCAATACTCTCGATTTACTGTTGTCGTATATGACCGCCTCCGCAGCCTCGAGTCTATCATTCAGTAACAGCTCGTTACCCTGCAGATATGCCTGCAGGATCGTTTTGCAAGTTCGCAAGTTAACTTGTTTTGTTGCCTCTATTACTGCGACAAACTCGAGGAAGGCGTTTATGAGGTGGTCTCTGGGAGTGGTGGCATGGCGAAACTTCGGCGGAGAAACGTGACCCATGGCGGCTTTGGTTGGCGGTGACCTGGACTGGGCAAGATGCACCCGAGCACTGTCGCCTCCCCCGCGAGTGGAGCCGGATTCACTCCTTCTGAAAGTCGACGAAATGAGACCCGCAGCTGTACATATGGCTGATGTTATTGCCCACATGTTGGTCCGTGAAGTTTGTTTCTTTATTTGTCTTTCGGTGTTTCGTTGTTGTTGCTGTAGAGCACTTTGTTCCGAATACCTGTGCTGCAGACGCTCCGAACCACTTGAAGAGCCAGCGATTGGTGAACTCTGGACCTTTTTTCTGAGGAAACTGAGGTCTTCACCCCTGTCCTCATAAACAATGACTTCATGCTGTTCTGAAGCTTGAATACAGCCCATGAGATCCGCTGTCTCTCCCCGCCGGAAAGCCACCACAGCAGCATCCACGCTGATAACTCTAGAATCTATGCCCTCTACTTTACCCCACTTACCTATACTGGTCAGCACCTTGCATGCCTGTTCAAAACAGGTTGTCGTATTGTTGCCAGAAAACATTGCGATTGTTTTATTGCGCGTCCGCAACAATCGACAGCTTTGACCGACCAGCTTTGTTTCTGGCAGTGCTTCATAGAGTTTGCGCCTCATGCTTGTTTTGAAAGTGCTGCCATTTAACAGGGAGGCAAGGCCTGGCGAGATTGTGAGCCATTTCTGGTGAGCGGTATTGCAGAAAGCGATCCCCAGTCTTTCGCTGCTGGTGCTCATGAACAAAGCAACTCCCCGAATACGTATTCCTTTGGTACCGTGCTCACCGTAAAGGAGAATTTCCCGCTCCTTAATTGTAATCCGCGGATCAGCCGTCGTTTCAAGGGGAACCCCGCTCACTGCTACAGCGGAATTAGACGGGTTGTCCAAGCTGACCACTGCTTGGCTCCTGTTATTGAGGGTGCTGTTTCTTTCAGCCGCCCTGCGAAAAATTTTATCTATGTAGTCTAGGAAGTGCGGTCTTTTCGCTTTGTCAGCCAAAATAGAACTCAGTTTAGCAGGATCCAAGCTTGCATCGATCCGATGTTCTAGGTTGGTTCTGGCGGCCAGGAAACGAGGACAGTCGAGAATGATATGCCATACAGACTCACTGATAGTTGGATCGCATTCGCAACCTGCACTTTCTGTTAGTTTAAATCGGTGCAGGTACTCAGCGATTCCTCCATGTCCAGTCAACGCTTGTACTTGGGCAGGTGTCAACTTTGTCGATCTCACTAATCGATATGCCTCTATTATATCCGGGAGAAACGATTTAGTTACCTGCCCAGTAGTGGAGGTTGTATATCTATCCTGCCACTTTCGGATGGTTTCATCTCTGATTTTCTTTTTGACATAAGACATGGGTACTCTACAGTAGCCTGTCGTGGTGTTGTCTTTTGTTTTGGCAGCGGCTTTAGCCAATTCATCTGCTCTCTCGTTTCCAACCGTTCCAACATGGGCTCTCAACCAGTAAAATCGAACCTCTCTTCCCTGCTCTCTGATGTTTTCAATACACTGTTTTATTTCTTTGGCTAACTGGTGGCTCACCTTGGGGTTTTTTAAGACATCGAGGGAGGATCTAGAGTCACTCATGATATTTACTCTACTCTCTTTACTGTCTTTCACCATTTTGGTGGCTCTATTCAGTGCATACAGTTCGGATTGAAAAACTGTGCAGGCAGAGTCCAGACTAAAAGTGGAAAACGCCGTCTCGCGGCCCCCCTCCCACCAACTTAAGGCAGAACCGACTCCTCCATCGATTCTGCTGCCATCTGTATATATATGAGGACCGGCAACTACGCTGGCGAGAGGAGATCCCGAGCCGTCATTCTCCAGGAGCTCATAATTTACTGAAATTAGCTTTGAGGGATGTGGCTGGTCCAGGTAAGGCACATCTCTTTCGAGCTCCCTTCCCGGTGGCAGATAGTCCAAAGAGAATCCCCTTTTGGTTCGATACAAACTGGCACTCTCCTGAATTCTTAGGTCAAGTGGGATTGTACCTGACAAAACTGTTGCTGACGTGAGCGACACTGTGCGATAAGCTCTACAGATCTTTTGTGCGAATCCCCTTTGGAGAGCATTTAGTTGTTTTTTAATCAACTGCAGCTCCGTCACTGGGGCCCATACATTCGCAGCGTAAAGCACAATTGGCTCAATGACCGCGACGTAGATCGTTCTCGTTATCTCGCCGTTCAGACCCCATGTCACCTTTGCCGCTCGTGATAGCTGTTTATAGATGTCTGCAGCTTTCTTGCACGTTGCGGATATATGGGACTTAAAAGTTAGTTTTCTGTCTATGGTAAGGCCCAAGAGCTTTATCTCTTCTACGAGGTTTATCTTGGTGCCCGACATGTACAGGTCCGGAGGGCTAAAGGCGAGCTTCCTTGTTAGTAGCATCGCATTGGTTTTGCTTGCACCGAACTTAAGCTTGTTACTAGCCCCCCAGGCCGTTACCAGTTCCAAGGCACCATTTACAGACTGCTCCAAGACGCTCACATTATGGCGTGGCTATTGGCCTATTGCCATGGCTCTTGTTCTCGAGCCATGGCAATAGGTTCACCCCCTATTACATGGGACTCATAACATAAATAGTAAAAAGTGAATGTTACACCCGTTTTTTTAATAGATAGACTGAATCTTAAGGAAGGTTTATATGTATAATACATGCTTATTGCACCCGTGCGAAGCCGTCGCGGGGCGCTAGTAAAATAAATAAATAAAATAAATATGTCCTCCTCCAGAGACAAGGAACGCCGTGAACGTGAAAGATCAGAGCTTCGCATCCTAGTAGGCACCAACCTGGTCCGCCTGTCCCAGCTGGAGTCCGTGACGGTGGAGGACTACGGCAGGCTCGTGCTGCCCGGGATACTGGAGCAGGTCGTCAGCTGCAGGGACGCCATCGCGCAGGAGTATCTCATGGAGTGTATCATACAGGTCAGACTTGTCAGTAGGTTAAGCTATTCGAATTTGCCAGTGGATATTCGACTTTATTGCAAATAATTATGTTAAAGTTTGGTTTATTTTTAAGTTTTCGGGGTGGTCAAGACGCGGCTGATTGATTGACTGAATATGTTTTGTGTTCTAGTCTTCAAATCGATTATATGTATTAACTTTTAAGACTAAAGAAAGAAAGATTACTACAGTATTTCTATAGACATCTTTAGCAATTTATCTTTGCAATAAATGACATATCTTTTACAATTATTACGTTCAAATAGCTAGCCTGGTTAATTTGAAAAAATCCCATTGTTTTTTTTTATGGCATAAGCCGGCCGGGTCATTTGATGGTAAGCTATCGGCGTCGCCCATGGACACCTGGAACACCACAGGCGTTACATGTGCGTTACCGGCCTTTTGGGGATTAGGAGTTTAAGGATCGTTAAGGTTTCAGGGATTAGGGAGATTGGAGAAGGTGGTGGGGGGTTAATTACCCCCACCCCCTGATACGATGAAACACAACGCAAGATCATTCGGTTCATTTCTTCACGTCGGTTTTCTGCTCGGCCGTGGTATCACTCCAGTCGAGCCGGCCTATTCGTGCCGAAGTAAAAAGCTTTTTTTATGGAACTATCTATTGTTGGACATATTTCACCCATTTTTTTAATATCGCGAAAGGAGCACAGTCGACTTTAATACTCATATCTTCACAAACTATATTTAAGTAAAACTCAATACTTGAATACTGAAAAGTTTATTCTAAACGGACTCTTATAAGAACACAGCATCTCGTCAAACTTCCCACCAAAATCGCGCGTTACCACTCTTTGCGCGGGAAACATTCTAATCTGTCACATTTGACAGATGACATCGTCAATAAGTTATGTTTCTGCCACCGACAGAGGGTGCAAATGGAAACTATAATCATTTTACTAAGTTTATTAAAATTCAAAGTCAAAGCATTTATTTCAATTAAACCATAGTTTGGTACTTTTGAAACGTCAACAAATACAAAATAAATAATAGTCTGTCAGTCAGTCCGTCAGTGAAATTAGGTGAAGCTAGGTGCTCATTCCAAAACGTAGATTCGAATGGAGAAGAACGAGCAAGAAACTCCATTCGTTACTCTTTTAAAAAAGTATGTTCTACAATGTCTCAATGTACAATGTATGTGAATGTAAAATTAAAATTACATGTTAACTCTTAAAATCTAACCAACCTAAGAGCGAATGCGTTCGAAGTTGGAACAACACTGCTTTCTTCTCTTAAAATTATTTCGAAAGAAGGTTTTCAATAAAGCCTATTGAGGTTAAATTTTGTGGGGTGATTGATGATGCAGCGATTCGCAGCTGGGCACAAGGCGGCGACATGAGGAGACGGCTCAGCAGTTCGGATGTTGCAATACTCCATAGAACGTTCATTGCATTAAAGTAGGTGTAATGTCTTGATTCAGCAGATATGGTCCTCGTGACACGGCGTTGATCGCGGTGTAGGTACCGATACGTAACAAATATGGCAGCTAGTGCTGTCGATAATAGAAAGAAAGAGAGAAAAACCATTTATTTTTGCGTAAAACACACATAACATAATTTAAAAAAATATAAAAATAAAATAAAATAAAAGCTAAAAAATTTAAATGAAGTGAAGTCTTGTCCATGGTCCACAGACTTATTATTTTACTGAAATCATAGAAAACTTAATATCTAATATTATCTGTGGATGGTCCACAGATAATATTAGATATTAGATATGACAAGGAACACCCTACTTACTTCATGTCTATTGACTATAGTCCATCTGTTTAGGTAATTAACTAAAGGTAAACAAACAAAACCACGTGACACAGAGATACTTAACCTTCTATTACTTCGAATATTTCTCGTGTTTTAATTTAAACTAAATTCACTTTAAAATCGTTCATTTGTCACAAACAGACATACAAGCACAAATACCTAAATCGTACAAGAGCCTTAGCCTATGGGTCTATTTCATTATCATGTTTAAATAGAAACTATTCTGAATCTGATGTACGGATTTCTTTCTTGTACGGATATGTGTCTTTGGGCCAAGTTTCTTCAATATATTTGAACACATTAATTAGAAACGATGAATAACCCAAACTTAAATAACTTAATAACAAAAACAAAACAAAGAAACAAGATAAATTCAACAAAATAGGAACGCGAGTGCAAACGACGAGAGAGCTGTCAATGGTGCCTGTTAACCGACTAAACGTAATACACGCTACTTTCATTGTCGCGCTACATCTTAATTGTACTCTTTAATTTGACAACATTATCTAATGCTTCGTTCATAAAGAAAGGTTTCGGATACCTGGGATTTTAGGCTCTTTATGGTGTCTATTGTAATGAAATATTATATTATTTAATAAATGTTATTAAATTATTATGCTCAAGCAGATATATATAATATTTACTAAGAAATAAGTGAAAAGGAACAGAAACATAACATTTAATAGAGAAAACTGTCGTAAAAATGGAAACAATATTATTTTCTTATGAAGTATTTTGAGTCATGGAAATGTCAACTATAAAGAACTCTTTTTATGGTTTGTTTACAAACTACCTAAACAGACGGAGTATAGTTGCATGCATTTCATAAAATTGGATAGAGGAGTATATATAAAAGTTTAATTATAATAAACAATACGAAGCCATTATAAGTACTTGATGCCAGTGTAACCCATTGCCCTAATATTGTGCGTCATGTATGTAATACAGATTAAACTAGTGACGTTCATTTAGTTGATTTCCGTCGTCTAACACTATATATTTGTTTACCCAGGTATTCCCTGACGAGTTCCACCTAGCGAATCTGCAGCCGTTCCTGAAGTCGTGCGCGGAACTCCAGCCAGGAGTCAACATCAAGAACATCATCATCGCACTCATTGAGAGACTCGCTACTTATAGTCAGGTAAAGGTCATCATGGTTGTAGGATATGATTTAAAGTATCAAAGACTTTAAAAAAATTTAACTAAGTCACAATTGAATCGAAGAAGACTACAACAATCCATTTTCCACCATTTATATTATAGGCGATGAGTTTATTTCCAGAAACTGCGCATAATACCAGATTCATTGCTGATTCTGACACAACATAACATCATGCCTTTTATCCCCGAAGGTGTAGGCAGAGGTGTAAACTACGTAATACTCTGTTTTGACTCTTTGTGTTCTAAGTCCCATGTAAAGTAATACTTTGACAGTTTTTGTAAACATAGAAAAGTACCCAGAAATACTTCACCCAGCTTGGAAATAGAATCTTAGTCCCTTAGCACTTTAGCAGTCTTGTTTGCGACCAATCGATCATTCGACTAGTACTACAAAATCAACTTCTTTCAAACTGCCATAATTGCTCGTGGCGCCATCTAGTCATCGCAAAAACGATTACTTTATTGTAATTTTACTGTTAATGTAATAATATTGTTAATTTTGGTAATGTAATAATATTGTTTATTTTACAGAGAAACGAAGGCAATATAAACTTAAGCGTAGTTCTAGAAGACGGGAAAGAACAAGAGGTTCAGCTCTTTGAGGTGTTCTCAGACCAAGTGGCTGCTATCACACAGGTAAAGTGAACTTTATTGTTATCTCATTAAAGTCTATTATTGTACATATGTACATTAAGATTACCATATCTAAATATTAGTTATTCCACGTAAATGCAATATACACAATAGCTACTTCCACGCTGTTTCAACCGTTCTCCTCGGCTTCTATTGATCGTAATAAAATATAAGCGACGTTTTACTCACAGTACAATGTTAATTTTTTTTTCCAATTATACTTTGTCTGATACAATAATCAAACCAATAAATCGGTCAAGCCTTCAGCTAAATTAATTATTATGTTTTCGACATTCTCACGTTCACGTAATTATTTGAAGACAAACTCGACTAGTTTCAAGCCATGATAAAGGCTCATATTCATGAGCAGCATTCCACGACCCGCGACGCGGCGACTGTAGCGCTGCTACTGTTTACTCGAGTCTGCGGGCCCAGCGTGCCCTGCCTTATTTAATCACATAATTATTAATTAATCACATAATACAATTTCAGCTACTATAATTAATATAATTTTCACATCTAGAGTCGCACGGACATGCCCCCAGAAGACATGTTGTCCCTGCAGTTGGCACTACTGAAACTGGCGCAGCGCTGCCACCCCGACAAACTGAACTACGTCGACAGAGTACTCGCTCACACCGACAAGATCTGTGCCGACATACACCAAGCTAGGTGAGTTTCATACATTACTAGCTTGATTGACTGCACGGTTGGTGCGGGGGCTGGGCAACGTGTCGCGGGTTCGATTCCCACACGGAACAACACTTTGTGTGATCCACAAATTGTTGTTTCGGGTTTAGGTGTCATGTGTATGTGAACTTGTATGTTTGTAAACGCACCCACGACACAGGAGAAAATCCTAATGTGGGGCAATGTTTCTTAATAAAAAAAAAGCTACTTCCGTGCGGTTTCACACGCTCTGCTCAGCTCCTATTGTTCGTAGTGTGACTGCGTGATGGTTTATAGCCTATAGCCATCCTCGATAAATGCGCTATCCAACACAAAAATAATTATTCAAATCAGACTTGTAGTTACGGAGATTAGCGCGTTCAAACAAACAAACAAACAAACAAACAAAAAACAAACTCTTCCGCTTTATATAATAGTATAAGATTGTTATATAAGATAGTATAAGAAGACCACGTGGCCGATCACCTAGCCGATGGTGTGACCAAGTTACTAACTACACTGGACTCTCTGGTTACGGAAACAGGACAAGATGGAGGGAAATAACACAGAGAGCAATAAAAGCCTTTCAAGGGCACGACCTTCAGAAATGAAGCAAGCGATCGAGAAGAGAAGATTGTTAGGTCATACTATTATTATTGTTCGTCTTCTTCTTATGGTGCCACTCCATTCCTGAAGGTTGGCCGTCAGCAGTTTAAATAGGTCCTTGTCATTGGCCAGGCGGAAAAGTTGTTCCACAGAGCTGATACCGGTCTACTCCCAAATATTGCGCAGCTTTGACTTTTTCCTGAATTCCTGGCTCCGTGCTACTACTGAGAATTTTTTAAAAACACAATAATACTTTGCCCGACCTGGGAATCGAACCCGAGATCTCTTGCCGGGTCGCACTTGCGACCACTCGGCTAACAAGGCAGTCACTTACACTAACACTTTCATCATCATCACCAACAGCCTATAAATGCCCGCTGCTGAGCAAAGCATCTTCTCACACGGAGAAGGCTAGAGCATTAATCACCACGCTTGCTCAATGCGGGTTGGCGATTTCAAACTTATAATTAGAAATCATAAGTCCAGGTTTCCTAACGATGTTTTCCTTCACCGTTTGTCAATAGTGTCTAAATAATCTTATAAAGTACATATAACTTGGAATAAGTCACATTGATACTTGCCGTTGGCAGGTTTCGAACCCGCACCCTCATGCTTGAGAAGCGGGCGTCTTAAACCTCCGGGCCACCACGACGTAGTAGTAATACTTTAACATAATTTAATAACTAAACACTGGGTCTGCCTTTATTCTAAAATCAATCTCAAAAACTTTTTTTAACCTATATTTTCTCTTCCAGCGGCAAAACCCATTTAGAACACAATACAGCCGTCTTCAAGGAACTGATGAAGATCCTCAAGCTTCCAGCAGACCATTACAAGAACATATTAACTCTGATCAAGCTGCAGAACTATTCACCTCTGATCAGACATCTGAACCATCCTGGGAGGATCATGATAGCGGTGCATTTGATCAATGATGTGTTGGAAACTGATTGTTTGATATCTACCCCGGAGGATGTGAGTGAATTTTGTATATTTTGTATTCATGAAAAAACATGGGGACTTCAAAAAGTCTCTACCTCGGACTCAGCCAACCAACTTTCTGTTTGGGACGAGCAGTAGTTCTGTATTCAGGGTTTCTTGTTGAGGTACGCTAGGATAGAAAATAGCACTTTCTATGAGACTAGCTTTTGCTTACGATTTTGTCTGCGCGCATTCATTTGCACTTGTGACCTTTTTCAAGGCCTATTTTTGGTTGTAGCTGTATTAAATTATATAAAAACTTTCGTGAGACATAACATCATAACATTACACCTTTTATCCCCGAAAGGGTAGGCAGAGGTGCACACAGAAGTAACACTGACTTTTCACTATTTATGTTATGAGTCCCATGATTACATGGGCTCACCCCCTTAATATGGGGTGCGTGCTAATACTGAGATTTTTTTCTTAAAACCCAGTAATACTTTGTCCGACCCGGGAATCGAACCCGAGACCCCTTGCCCGGCAGTCGCACTTGCGACCACTCGGACAACAAGGCAGTCGTGTGCCAACAATAGTATGTCTCACGACATCTCTATTATTATGTATGTTTTCAGCTTATTGAGGTAACTGTTTGACGAGGAACTAGACTAGTATCAAGCCGTGCTAGAGGCTGATATTCGAGGTCGCGGAATACTGCTCACAAATATGAGCCTCTAGCATGGTTTGAAACTAGCAGAGTTCAAGTTGTTGATCTCATTTCGATTTCACACAGATCTAAATTTCGATGCCTTGGCAAAATTTTATTGAACAATTTCAAAAACTTTGAATAATCTTAATATTATGCGTGTCTGTAAAATGTTGTGTTATTTGGTCTCAGGTCGAGTCAGTGTTGTCGATGTTAGACGTCTTAGTAAAGGATCAGCCAGACCAACCCACTGCCGAGCCAGACGTCGAGGACTTCATGGAGGAACAGGGACTACTGGCCAGGTACGTTACCATACACAACACATAGCTACTAAATTGAAGAGTTCATTAAATATACTTCATTGATCTAGAAGGAAGAACGTCCTGTATAAAAAAAATGAAGTCGCTTGCGAAATTCAATGCAATATTTTTATGCAATCTGTAGAGGTTAAAATAATTTCCATCTTCTCAATATAATTCGAAAACTATTCAAAATTTAATCATCTTAAATGCGGAATAATTTAATTATAATAGGGTAGTTGCCAGGGTATGAAAATTAAAAATCTAATTAGTCCGTCAGTTAGATAATGAAAAAATATTAGACACGTATTTTTTATTTTCTCGTATAAAGTTACAATGCTTAGATAAAATGGAGTTAAGTTTAGGAGTGGGAGGTCGTTACGTCACACGATATTTCAGATTAACTCGTCGAGTACCGTCATTATAGACACAATTATAGAACAATAGGTTGCGGTCACCGGTGACCGCTTGGTGTTTGACAGTAATATGTATTTAATTTTGTGAGAAAAGTAAAAATACGTGTCTAATGTTTTAAATTAATCTACCAGACAGACATTAAAATAAAATTCAGACAACTACCCTATTAAATTTTACGTGTGTTTAGTCCAAAAACAACTTTAGCGCAATACAAATAAAGTTTATTTCTCTCCAACAGACTAATCCACCACTTCAAATCCGACTCTGCGGACCGTCAGTACCTGATCCTGTCGGCGGCGCGCAAGGCGCTGCAGGCAGGCGGCGCCGCGCGCATACAACATACATTCCCACCCATCGTCTTCCATGCATACAGACTCGCGCATACATATAAACAGCTTAGAGAGACGGTGAGTTGAACTAATGGACGTATAAATAAAATATCAAGCAATTTTTAACGCACTGTGACCCCGGCAATACTAAATTGCGTTGTCGACGTAGGCCTTGGTCTTGGAGATCGGCCCTCCAGTAACCTTACATGATATCGCAATCAGATGATGCGCATTTATCAGATGTGAATGTGCCATTTCGTAATACCTATAAACGGTTCCCGCTTACCCGACTACTTTCGAGCAATACTGGGGCTCATAATTATGTAAAAATATATTGTGGATTTACGCAGATTGCAGATCGTGGATCGTCGTATTTTATGCGATACAATTTATTTATAAACAAGCGTTATTTTTTTGGTTTAGGACGACATGTGGGAGAAGAAGTGTCAGAAGATATTCCAGTTCTGCCACCAGACTATCACCATGCTGGTCAAGGCGGAGCTAGCTGAACTGCCACTCAGGTACTATTACGACAAATACGATCGACACGACAGACGCGACCGACGCTACCGACACGACAGATACGACAGATACGACAGACGAAACCAACACCATAGATGCGACCGACACAACCGACACGACAGACACGACCGATACGACCAACACGATAGATACGACCGACACGACAGATACGACCGACATGACAAATACGACCGACTCGTTAAATGCGACCAACACGACAGAAACGACCGACACGACAGATACGACCGACACGACAGAAACGACCGACACGACAGATACGACAAATACGACCGATACGACAGATGCGACAAATACGACCGACACGACAGACACGACAAATACGACCGACACGACAGATACGACAAATATGACCGACACGACAGATACGACCGACACGACAGATACGACAAATTCGACCGACACGACAGATACGACAAATACGACTGACACGACAGATACGACAAATACGACCGACACGACAGATACGACCGACACGACAGATACGACAAATATTATCGACACGACAGATACGACAAATATTATCGACACAACAGGTACGACAAATATGACCGACACGACAGATACGACCGACACGACAGATACGACAAATACGACCGACACGACAGATACGACAGACACGACAGATACGACAAATACGACTGACACGACAGATACGACCGAGACGACAGATACGACAGATACGACCGACACGACGTGACTCACGTGGATATATTGAGAAAAGCTCTACTAGTTTCGAACCACAGAGGGGTTCATGAGCTGCTCATGAGGGAGAACCCCTCTGTGGTTCGCGTCGGTGGTGCGCGGTCGCGGCGATGTCGCGCAGCCTACTGACTGGCGTTGGCGGTCGCATCGGTGTTGCTTCTTGCGCATCTAGCCCACAGCGCCCTAAATCAACAAACAAACTAGTAGAGCTTTTGTCAGTATATTTTAAGCTAAACAAACATACTCTTCAGCTTTATATCATAGTATTAGCGACCCGCCCCGGCTTCGCACGGGTGCAATATGCATGTATTATACATATAAACCTTCCTTAAGATTCACTCTATCTATTAAAAGAAATCGCATCAAAATCCGTTGCAGAGTTTTAAAGATCTAAGCATACATCGGGACAGACAGACGGTGTATAACGACTTTGTTTTATACTATGTAGTGATTAATATTATATTATTCCACAGGCTATACCTCCAAGGCGCCCTGGCTATAAGTGAAATAGGGTTCGCGAACCATGAAACGATAGCCTATGAGTTTCTATCGCAAGCATTCTCCCTATACGAGGACGAGATCTCTGACAGCAAGGCTCAGCTAGCGGCTATTACTCTGATTATCGCCACTTTTGAACAAATTAATTGTTTTGGTAAGTAGATTGTATTTTTGGGCGTTTATTGTAATAATAATTATTCAAATGGACTAAATGGAATAGGATGGAATAGGAATGTCGTAAGTACGACTGCGGGGCAAGGGGACTAGGGTTCGATTCCCGGGTCGGGCAAAGTGTTATATGGTTTTTTAAAGTTCTCAGCAGTAGTAAGGCGTCTGGAAAAGTGCGCGGTATATGGCAATAGGTTCATACATGGGACTTATAACGTAAATAGTGAAAAGTGGATGTTACATTGTACAGTGGCATAATATGCACCTCTGCCTATCCCTTCGGAGATAAAAGGCGTGATGTTATGTTATGTAGTATTATATGCATAATTTGGGGAGTATAGAAAAATACGTTACGCAAAAAGATCATTCATCAAGATAATTTTTTAGATACATTCACAAGTCTAAGTCTAAGATACTTTTTCCACTTATTAAAAAAGAGTAACGAATGGAGTTTCTTGCTCGTTCTTCTCCATTCGAATCTACATTTTGGAATGAGCACCTAGCTTCACCTAGTTTCACTGACGGACTGACTGACAGACTATTATTTATTTTGTATTTGTTGACGTTTCAAAAGTACCAAACTATGGTTTAATTGAAATAAATGCTTTAACTTTGACTTTGATTTTATTTTCTTGTGTGTTAATGTTACATTATTCCCGTAGGCGCCGAGAACGCGGAACCGATGCGTACCCAGTGCGCGCTGGCGGCGAGCAAGTTACTGAAGAAGCCCGACCAGAGCCGCGCCGTCGCACTCTGCGCACATCTCTTCTGGAAGGCGCCTAAAGATGGCAAGCAGGTCTGTACTTGGTATATTTCATGGGCCGACGTTTGACCACTATCTCGCATAATGCGGTCTACGATAGAGCACGTCGTCCCATAAGCAACCTATTCACTCGGGCCTTGAAGACTCCCAGGTTATACCCTTTAGGAAATACAGACTCTGGCAAAGAATTCCACTCCTTAGCAGTACGCACAAAGAAGCTTGATGCGAAGCGCTTCGTGCGTGTGGATGAACCGGTGACGCTTCGCTTCCTTTTAGAGATTAGGAATTTAAGGAATATTGGGGATTCAAGAATTGGGGAGTGGGGGGGGGGTAATTAGGCCTCTATTAATCAAAGTCAAACTCAAAATCATTTATTTCAATTAGGCCAGAATGGCACTTTTGAACGTCAACAAAACAAAATTGAAAGTGAAGCTATTTGCTCATTCCAAGGCGCTCACTCACATGACGAAACACGGCGTAAGCGTTGTTTGACGTCGGTGTTCTGCTCGAACGTGGTATAACTCCGGTACAGCCGGTCTATTTTATAGAATGTTTAGGCATAGAAAAGGCCTACAATAGATATTTTAATTTGACTTTACTGTAGTGGCCGCTGAACGACGCGTCCCGCGGCCTGGACTGCCTGAAGAAGGCGGCGCGCGTGGCGCAGCAGTGCATGGACGGCGGCGTGCAGGCGCAGCTCCTGGCCGAGCTGCTCGGCCGGTACGCGCTGCTCAGGGAGAGGGGGAACGCTTGTCTCACCACTACGCTTATTGATGCGGTTAGTATGGTCATTTTTATTACTTAACTAGCGGACCCAACAGACGTTGTCCTGCATATCCACTTGAATGTATAAACAAAAATTCATTCAAATTACTTCAGCTGTTTAGGATAAATAACCTAAACATCGACTGCAGCACCATCTGCCGGGCTGATATGTGAATCTAAACCATTCCCAGATCCCCTTGAACACACACACACAAAAAATTTCACCAAAATCGGTCCAGTCGTTTGAGAGAAGTTCAGTGACATACACACTCACAAAAAAATTATATATATAAAGGTGTTAAGTATGTTATAGTACGAAATGCGAGTGAAGGCTATCGACACACTGTTTAATTGCGTCTTATATTTATTACAAATTCGCGGGCTCAGTAACGCGCCATATACAAACTATTACCGTAGACAATACGATGACCATAGACACGATACGCAACCGTGATGCCGTGGTGGCCCGGAGGTTTAAGACGCCCGCTTCTCATGCATGAGGATGCGGGTTCGAAACCTACCGACGGCAAGTACCAATGTGACTTTTTCGAGTTATATGTACTTTATAAGAATATCTATACACCACTGACAAACGGCGAAGGAAAACATCGTGAGGAAACCTGGGCTTATAATTTCTAATTATAAGTCTGTAATCGCCAACCCGCATTGAGCAAGCGTGGCGATTAAACTGTCAAACACCAAGCGGTCACCGGTGACCGCAACCTATTGTTCTATAATTGTGTCTACAAAACCGGTACTCGACGAGTTAACATAATCATTAGTCATTTAATTGATGACTTGTATGAAAGATTGGATGAAATATAAACTGTCTCTTTATTATTTATAGAATTTAATGTTGAGCAAGCGTGGTGATTAAACTGTCAAACACCAAGCGGTCACCGGTGACCGCAACCTATTGTTCTATAATTGTGTCTACAAAACCGGTACTCGACGAGTTAATGCTTAAACCTACTCCATGTGAGAAGAGGCTTTGCTCAGCAGTGGGCATTTATAGGCTGTTGATGGTGATGAATAAAGAAATTATAGAATTTGGTTACATTTTGAAGCAAAAATTAGTATTTCAAGGTTACTTGTATGGGGTTTTGTTTAAAAAATGTAGATGGTGGTTGCTAGGGTGTGTAATCTGAGTATAATATCTTGAAAAGTGGGTGGCTAACTTTTCGTGAGGCGCCTACAACTTTAGGATTTCAAATTACTACTCTCTATGACCCATAATGTTAATAATAACTGACCAATTATTAGTTCCTACTACTGAAAAATTCATATTATCTTTGCGAAGCTTGTATCACCAATTTCTATTTCTAACGTTGAAATAATCAATCATTAGTCATTTAATTGGTGACTTTTATGAAAGATTGGATGACATATAAACTGTCTCTTCGTTATTTATAGAATTTAATTTTTTAATCAATAAGTTAAAATAATTTAAAAAGACGAGAAGAACCTATAGACTTTTATATTTAAATTAAGTCTTTAAAATACAAATCAATGACAGTAATTTCTATAAACCAACTAAAATTTGACAGAACAAAACTTCTTAAACCAACTACCAATATACAGTGAAACTTGGTTAAGTGGGACCTGGATAAGTGAGAAACCTCCATAACTGGAACTCATGCTGAGGTCCCAACACTTTGGCACTGTTAGCGGGACGAAGTAAACCTCTATATCTGGGATTTGTTCTTTCGATTTATCATCATAGTTACCTCTATATCTGAGACAGCGAGTAAATTTTATACGTATGAACCTCTGTAACTGAGATAACATTGTTTGTTTACTCATTCTTATTCTAACCACAAATTCCGCACGTAATTCCAAGTCCACCTCAATTAATGGAACCCTCTGTAAATGAGACAGATATTTATTTATACCTGTGTATCTGAGACACTGGGTAAGTGGAATACTTCTATAAGTGAAACGACATTGCAGGTCCCTTGATGTCTCACTTAACCAGGTTTCACTGTATTTATCTATTCATTTCTACTAGTCTAATCTAAACCTTAAAACAGGTAATTCAGAAAATCCGCGAGGAGCTAGCGAACCTGGACCAGTCTGAGGAGGTGGAGCAGATAACGAAACACTTCCACAACACGCTGCAGCATCTCAAGAATCGGATGGAGTGCCCCGACCCTGACGGACTCGGGTACGAGGGACTTACACTCTCCTAATGTAATTAGAAAGTCGTGTTTAACATTAATTATTATGCTTTCTGCTCACTCACGTAACTGTACTAACTGACGAGGAACTCGACTAGTTTCAAGACATTATATAGGCTTATATTCATGAGGAGCATTCCGCGATAAAGACACGGCGACTGTCGCTGCTACTTCCTCGTCAATCAGTTACATAACGTCGAAAACGTAATAATTAATTTAGTTATAATATAAAAATCATAATTCACATTTTGCAAGCATTTTTTGTGATTACAATATTCGAGTCGATTTGTGTGCGAACCCTTTGAATGCCATTGACCACTACTAAAGTTATACATATACATTAAAACTATGTCGACCTGCGGCTGCGGCGCCCTCATTGATTTTCCTGACTAAATAGGTCAGTTAAGTATCTACATTTTAACTAATTAACTAAACAATAGTTGATTAGTTCGTTCGAAAATGCGTTTCACGTTAAGCGTGAAGTAGTACCTCTAACATCGCTAGCGTGCAAAACGTTATCAATTAGATAAAATCAGACATCCTAGATGACAAATTTTTATATTAATGTCCGTCTGGTAGATTATTTTAAAAACATTAGACACGTATTTTTTTTTACGGAAACGAATAGTTTCGAAGATATATTGATTCGAGATGTCGCGTGACGTCACTTCTATGTACATTTTATTCGTAGAAATGACGTTTTAGCTTCCTAAACTTTGATTCGTTATATCTAAGTATCATTTTATTATACAACAAAATAAAAAAAATACGTGTCTAATATTTTTTCATTACTTAACTGACGGACTAATTACATTTTTAATTTTGATACCCTGTCATCATCCCTATTGCTGCCCATAAATCCCCAAGCGGTTACCGGTGTTCGCTCTCCACTAAGAACATTATAGACCTTATTTCTGATGTTTAGAGACTACTTTTGTATGAACAAATTTAGGGGATGATATTTCAACAGGCACAGTACATTTAGACTTGCATTTTACTTCACGCCAGCGTTCTTAAAGGTCTTCACTTCAACACCAGGTCAAGTAAAATAATGCGTGACATGCATTTTCGGACTAATAAATTATTATTGTTAAGTTTATTACTTAGAATGTAGAACTTTTAGTATTCTAGCGCATATAGAATATAGAAATAGACAGTTCAAAAATCACAAGGTATATTTCTGTGCTAACGTAGTTGTTATTCTATTATTGAAAACCCTTACTACAGTCGGGTAAAAAATAGTGGAATGAAACATTCATTCGGGTGTCAGCACCTTTGCACTTGTGAATAAATTGTCAAAAATTTTAGTAAAATGTTAATTAAGTTAATGAAGTTTGTTACAGTCAGCAAGAAAATTACTGTAATAAGTCAATAAAATTACCGACAATATTGGCAAATTACTGCAATAATCTGTCAAATGTTAAAACATTGCTGGTAGCTTAGCAGCAGATTTAAAAATGTCTATAAAAATTATACCTATATAATTATAATATTGTTAGAATATCGGAATGTTTGTCAACTGCCTACATTCCTTTGATTTTTATTAATATAGATAAAATTCTTTGTTTTAATCTCAAGGTGTAATAATAAGTGTAAATAGATGATAAAGTTTATTATTATTTTAATTAATCTTATTTTATAAGTTATACGTATGTTTTATGGCAGTTTTATAGAAGCAATATAATTCGTGTTATTTTTATTATTTGTTTTATTTACATAACATAACATAACATCACGCCTTTTTATCCCCGAAGTGGTAGGCAGAGGTGCACGTTTCGGTACTTAATGCAACTGTACAATGTAACACCCACTTTTCACTATTTATGTTATGAATCCCATGTAATAGGGGATGAGCCTATTGCCATATACCGGGCACATTTCCAGACTCCGTGCTACTACTGAGATTTTTAAAAACCCAGTAATACTTCGCCCGGACTCGGGAATCTAACCCGAGACCCCTTGCCCGGCAGTCGCACTTGCGACCACTCGGCCAACGAGGTAGTCTATTATGCGTTGTAAGTTGTTTTATTTATCCTTGACAAACTACCTTTGTGATTTATTCATAACTAATGAATTTATATATGACTAGCAGTTGCCCGCGACTACGTCCATGTAAAATATGATTCCTGTTTTATCCCAAAACAGGAACAATTTATTAATAATTAATAAATTAATTTATTATAATTTATTATTGTTAATGAAGCGAAAGAGGTATGTAAGAATCGTAGTAATTGGCGTTCCTTAGTATCTGCCTACCCCCATGGGAGACAGGCGTGAAGTTACGTATGTATGTATGTTTTATCCCATGGGGGCTTAATTGGGGTAAAAAGTCCTAGCATCTAAGTCAGCCCATACCCTACCTGTATACCTATTTCATCAAAATTCGTTCAGTTGCAGCGTGTTTGACGGACAGAAATCCAAACAAAGAATCCTTCACATTCATAATATTAGTTGTGATTCACACAAAAATACTAAAATTTTCTAGAATAGGGTAAATGACTAATTTTTATTTTAATGTCCGTCTGGTAGATTATTTAAAAACATTAGACACGTATTTTTAATTTTTTACGGATACGAATAGCTTCGACGATATATTGATTTGAAATGTCGCGTGACATAACTTCTATGTACATTTTATACGTAGAAATGATGTTTTAGCCCCCACTCCTGAACTTTGATTCGTTATATCTAAGTATCATTTTATTATACAATAAAATAAAAAATACGTGTCTAATATTTTTTCATTACCTAACTGACGAACTAATTACATTTTTAATTTTCATACCCTGTCATCATGCGTATTGAAACTCTAAACAGGCAGTCTATCCACAGACATAAACCGCAATATTAGGTCAGCAGTTTTCGAGTTGTAAACCGACAAAAAAAGCCTTGATTTTTCATATATCAAAATGGGACCTTTTTTAAGGGGGAAAATATCGAATGATTTCTCCCGCCTGGGTGAGGCGGGAGGGAGTGTCAGACTCTTACTGACTACAAACCACCCCGTTCCTACTCCTGCACTTCGAGCCGGAGCTCCGGTAAACCGTTAAGTCCTCCGCGGCATAGAAATGAGACTAAGATATTTTTGTTACATACCATTCTCAAAAAAACGTTCATCATTATCATTTCTATTTTTATTATTAAAGCTTTTTTTAAGGGGGGAAAATCATCGAATGACTTCTCCCACCTGGGTGAGCCGGCAGGGAGTGTCAGACTCTTACTGACTATAAACCGCCCCGTTCCTACTCCTGCACGTCGAGCCGGAGCCCCGGCAACCCGTTATGTTCTCCACGGCTCCGAATCGACATCACCCCTATTGGGCCCCATCCGTGGTTTATTATTAATGCTGGAAGAGTTTGTTTGAAGGTGCTAATCTCCGAAACTAATAGGATTATTCAAGTTGGAACTCGAATAATCCTTTTTGAGGAACTACGGTCAATTCAAGGAGCCGAGCAAAGGTAAAAGTAAAGAGTAAAACTAAACCAATTTTCACTTACAAAATAAAATATATATTTATATCACATACGACTACAAATTACAATATTCTGTTTCCTTGAACATTATTCTTATTATTCATCATGATCTTCTCCTGCCGTTTCTTCTCTTCTTTGAAAGCCTCTTTGTTTGCTTTCTTCTCTACTCTTCTTTCTTTCCTATACTCTTTCAGAAGACGTTTCCTTTCTTTCTTTTCTTCTGGAGTTTCGTCTTTTGGCCTGGAAAATTGAAAATGTTGTTTTTGAAACATAGTGTTAATTATAATAAATAGGATCTTATTTTTTAATAGAATGGGCCAAATTAAAAGTACCGGTAACCGACGGGAATGCATGAAAATGACTGATGACTGTTGATGAAGCGAAACAGGTATTTAAGAATCGTAGCAATTGCCATTCTATACTCTCTGCCTATCCCCATGGGAGATAGACAGGTCAGGTATGTATGTATGTATGGATGTGTGAAATGTTTATGTGAAAAGAATGAAAATGTCGCGTAAATGACTCATGTGTACGAGTATAGTGTGCATACTAAATTGATTAAAATATGGAACTAAATTAACGAACATTCTGCGTACAAAAGGCATGATTATGAGTTCCGCTGTGGCGTGAAATTAATCGAGCTTGACTTTGACTATTGTAATTTACATTTTTATCCACAAATTACAAATCGAATGAAAAAGTAACATTTCAGTCTTTTCAATTCAACTTACCGTATAGAAAGAACACTAAGAGTAGAGAGAATGGTTTCAGCGTTGGTCTTTCCATCGTCTTCTTCATCAGAAGACCCGGTCTCTTTCTGCATAGCGTTGAATTTGGCGAGAGACTTGACAGTCAGCTTGTTATCCTTACCGAGCACGTCTTTAGGTATGCCGCGAGCGTTTAACTTGATTTTTTTGGGTTTCTGAAATTTATAAAAGAATAATTTAATACTTAAAGCAGCAATTTCTATTTAAAAAACATTGTCTATGTGATTCATCAGCTGGAACACCTCATTTGAACAAGGGAAGAAAAAGGGAAGGGAAGGCCCTTTCAAGAAGGAGGCTTGTCATAATTCATAATCCCCATGCTTGGCAGATAGTTTGGGGATGACAGTATAATGGCCATATCTCAGTGGCTAGCCAGACTTTTAGGGGCATACCCAGGCCCAAGAGTAATGTAAGTAATATTAACTAACCTTAGGCTCCTCAATAATTTTAGGATGGTTGTACAAGTTCGAGTATGTTGACAGTATGGTCTCGCAGTCCCACTTCTCTTTGGGATCCACCTCAACTGTCACCAATTCTTCTTCAGATTCTTCCTCAATCTCTTGGAGGCGGTTTATTCTGGAAATAGATAGCGTTTTAATCAAATGGTATTTATTAATTTCGTTCAATATATTACAAAACATAAGTTTACATGATCAGTTTATCAGTTACATTTAAGATTTCGCATCGAAAGTTAATCAAAAGCTACATAAGATAACAATAACAATACCATAACATAACATTACGACTTTTTATGCCCGAAGGTGTAGGCAGAGGTGCACATTTCGGCAATGGGGATTGTCTAAAAAAATTGAGGAGTTGTTTTTATTTTATCTTCGTCTAAAATGAAGTATTTTAAGATACTAATTTGAGTATTTCTCCAAAACAGTGTAAAGTAAAATTTATAATCGACTTTAATACATTCTGTCCTTCTACGTCATCTTAGGACTTATCGTAGGTAATTCTTTTGACTTTTCACTATTTATGTTATGAGTCCCGTGTAATAGGGGGTGAGCCTATTGCCATATACCGGGCACATTTCCAAACTCATTGCTACTACTGAGAATTTTAAAAACCCAGTAATACTTTGCCCGCCCGGGAATCGAACCCCAGACCCCGCGACCACTCGGCCAACGAGGCAGTCCTACATAAGATACTTATGCACAATATACAAAATAAACACTTTACAAAGAAAGATGCAACCAGAGATCTTTTCTGTATGGTCCTATGAAGGACTAATTTGTTTCAAATCGCTCAACAGGCTACCGTAACCTATACCTGGCGGTGACATGGGCTGTGCACTACGTCATAGTTCGTTGGGTAAAACTATACATATGTGGTATTCAAAGGCAGATTATCTTTTTTAACCGACTTCGTTATGATGTAGCGGATGCTACGGCTATGCGGGTTGGGTAGGAAGCATGGTGATTATTGTTCAAAGTGTCTCTATGCGAAAAATGGCATTTGGAGACTATGATTTTTTTTTTTTTTTTTTTATATATTTGATGGGGCGACGTTTGACCACTATCTCGCCTGGTGGTAAGCGATGATGCGGTCTACGATGGAGCACGTCGTCCCATTAGCAACCTATTCACTCGGGCCTTGAAGACTCCCAGGAAATACCCTTTAGGAAATACAGACTCTGGCAAAGAATTCCACTCTTTAGCAGTACGCACAAGGAAGCTTGAAGCGAAGCGCTTCGTGCGTGTGGGCGGAACATCTACCATGAATCGGTGACGCTTCCCCGATTGTCTTGTGGTACGATGATGGAAAAGACTAGGGGGAATCAAGTTGTGCAATTCCCCCTATGATAAATTAATGATGTAAAAAAAATCAATTTATATTGTTTTCTCCTCACCTAGCAATCTCCTTCTCCTTATCGAGCTGGTATTTCCGCTGCGACTCCTCGAAATGCTCAGCAGCTTGCAGCAGCATGTTGTGTGTCTCCGGCATGAAGCCCTCGATCTCTTCCAGGTCTAACGCACCTACTTCTGTGTCGTCGTACTCAGCGAACATCTGGAGATTGGGAGCGGTTAGATTTTAAAGTTTTAAGAAAACCGACTTAATAAAACCAAAAACTAATAACAAACAAAAATAGTTATTATTTGCTTTTTAGTTTGGGGTTTTTGTTTGTTATTAGTTTTTGGTTTTTTGAAGGCGTTTTTTTAAAAGCAGTTTTTATTTTATCATTTTCAGTGTAAAGCTACATAGATCCGTTTTGACACTTATAATACACATAGGTGCAAAGTTCCAATCATTACAAATTATAGCCCAAACACAACGCAAGCGTTATTTCACGTCCGTCTTCTGTCGGCCGTGGTATCACTCCGGTCAAGCCGGCCTATTCGTGTCGAAGCTCGGCTCTTCCACACTTTCACCATATTTACAAAGAATTGGCGACAGAACTATACTTAAGCGCGACTTAAAATTGAGTTTGAGAATAGGGTAAATGCCTAATTTTTATTTTAATGTCCGTCTGGTAGATTATTTTAAATCATTAGACACGTATTTTTAATTTTGTTACACAAACGAATACTTTCGACGATATATTGATTTGGAATGTCTCGTGACGTCACTTTTATGTACATTTTATGCGTAGAAATGACGTTTTAGCCCCCACTCCTGAACTTTGATTCGTTATATCTAAGTATTGTTTTATCATACAATAAAATAAAAAAATACGTGTCTAATATTTTTTCATTACCTAACTGACGGACTAATTAGATTTTTAATTTTCATACCCCGTCATCAATCATCCCAATTTATACAACAAAAATACACAATCATACCTTTTCAAACCGGTTATCAAGCAGGGTAAGTCCCTGGTTGCGTCGCATGACACTCGAGGACATGGAGTACTGGGAGAATCTGGACTTGGTGTCATCATTGTCGCGCGCCTCCCAGTTACGCATGCGACCACCGCGAGCTGGTCTGCCGTCCTGGGGGAAAGAGATATTTTTTTATACCAACTACAATAAAATTAGAGACTTACGCGACATATTTAGAGTCCAAATTCTTTTAAAAGATTTGTAATATAAATAGCACCTGTATTATTAATAAATCTATTAGAAACAAGGCTTACGGCCTGGCTGATGATAAGTGGTCACCGTAGCCTAGTGGTCTAAATTAATATTTGATTTCAATTCAAAATATCTGAATAGATTTTGATTTGTGACAGAAACTGCAGTTTATTATATTACTATACAAGGTGTAGTTTTGAAACCGTGTCATATCTCGGGGGCATGTCACAGAAGTTATAAAGGTTCAATGTAAGAGAAAATTTCGGGCCAATAGTTAAAAATACGACTATAATAAATCGTTTAAGTTCGACAGTATTTCAGAATAAGCGACAGCAATGTTTCTTATTGGAGTTTTATGGAATTAGGAATTTATATCAATTACGTTTTTGAGTTTGTGTGTGTTAAGCCGCGTAATAAAGCTAGTTACAAGACGGCGGCGTGTACTTCGCACTTACAGATTTCCGTAATTTCAGAAAAATGAAAAATATTTACCTACAATTTTTTTATTGATTCGGACTAAGAATCGATAGCCTAGTTACCTCCTAGAAAATGACGCGGCTTTAAAACAACACCTTGTAGGTTTAGTCAATAATGGATCTAAATTGTTTTCGGCCGTAAGTATACTTGGAACATCCAATGCATCTAATTATACATTTACTAAAAATCGCGGGTTACTCATTCAAAGCTCTACTAGTTTCGAACCACAGAGGGGTTCTTCCTCGTGAGCAGCGTGCGCCGTTGCAGGCAGGCTACGAGTAGGCTGCGCGACATCACCGACATTGACACACGAAACTAGTAGAGCTTTTATTAACTAAAATCGCGGGTTACTCACGTAAAAATACTGAGATAAGCTCTACTAGTTTCGAACCACAGAGGGGTTCTACCTAATGAGCAGCGTGCGCGGTCGTGGCGATGTCGCGCAGCTCACAGTCTCGTCAGTAAGCTGCGTGAGGAAGAACCCCTCTGTGGTTCGAAACTAGTAGAGCTTATCTCAGTATTTTCACGTGAGTGACCCGCGGTTTTTAGTTAATTTAGTATGTCTCACGATAGTTATAATACAAAATTTAAACATATTTATTACAGAACTCACAAAAGAGACTAACATACCTCATCACTGTCGTCATCAGAATCAAGGTCTGATGCGAATGCCTTGTCGGAGTTGTCATCTTGTGACATGCTGTCGCCTTCCTCATCCTCATCGTATTCCTCATCACCAGAGCCTAGAAATAATACATACAAATAATAGCTACATCAATACGGTATTTTACAACTAATTAAATTCAATACTTTTATTGAAACGTCAAAAACGATATTGTTCTATGAATTTTGTACCAAAAACTAACTTATGACGTCATCATATTTATATCGAGTCAAATAGCACATTTATTTCTGAAAAAAATTGCTAGAATAAATCGAAAATTAAGTATATAGTCAAATATATGAATGAAATTGTAATTATTCTTGAATATTTAATTGGATTGAAAAATCAAAATATTTTATTTTTGACCCAGTAAATACCCAATTGATTGCTTGGCACGTGATGTATTTGTGTGTGTGTGTGTGTGTGAAAGAATTTTTAAAATGAAATAATAATTGCTATTGCAATCGTGTGAAGCCAGGGCTGACCACTAGTAAATAAACAGCTCACCTTCAGCCATAGCCAGATCAATAAAGTTGTCTTCCAGTTGGTTGTCTGGATCCTCGAAATCGAAGTCATCATCCAGAGCTGCCACCACTTCTGGATCTAGGTCGAGACAGAGGCCTGAAACAAGGGAGAATAGATATAAAAAAGTGAAAAAGATCTAGACTAGATCCTAGTATGAATATCAGCATAAATGTACTCCTATAATATCAATAGTATCTATTGTCACTATGGAGACTGCAATTTCAGAGCCTATTCAAACAAATAGTAATAATAAATCTATTATGCTTTGATTTTTAAAATAAAACCGGTAATAATCCATTGCCACTTGAAATAGAATTCTATGAACACTATCATTAAATATAATTTTACCTTGCGGAGCAGCCTTATTCAGTAGACCAACATCTTCTTCAACTTCGGAAGCAAACACTGAGCTGGGCAGAGTGAGAGCCTCTGTCACAGGTACTGGTACTTCATCCTCATTGGCTTCTGTGGTCTTCTCTTTCCTTTTGTGTACCGGTCTCTGATGATAGAAGTTAAGAAGAATTATGTAGAATTTACACTTAATTATTTTTCATTTATGGTAAAACAGGGTGAATAGAATTCGAGAGGTGAATAGATATAGAAGAGGGGCGAATAAATTACCAATGGTGCTTACATAATATAACATCACGCCTTTTATCCCAGTAGGGGTAGGCAGAGGTGCGCATTATGGCACTTAGTACCACTGTACAATGTTACACCTACTTTTCCCTTTATATGTTATGAGACTAATGTAACGGGGATGAGCCTATCGCCATATACCGGGCACAATTCCAGACTCCAAGCTACTACTAAGATTTTTTTAAAACTCAGTAATTCTTTCCCAACCCGGTAATAGAACCCGAGTCCACTTGCAGAGCCTGGCAGTTGCACTTGTAATCACTCAGCCAATGGTGCTTATATTTGTATTTTATGCTCCTAATGGCAGTAACAAGCATTTATAAAACCAGAGGTATCATAATTGTGTTATGAACTGATCTAATATTTTATTTAAAAAGTACTTACAGGCTGTACAACGAGCGTGACTTCTCTGGAATCTTTAAGATGTTGCAAGTAATTGTAATCATCATCAAAGTAGATGCCATATTTGATCTGTTCTTCTCTTCTTTGTTCTGGTGTTAATTCCTGGAAAAAGACATTTTTTTTTATTGTACCAAACTCAATGTAAGTATTCCATAGCATGTATCAGGATAAGATTAAAAAAAAATAGCATTGTATTCAAGTTTGAAAAAAGAAATTATTGTTTATACTCTATGAAAAACATTGAGAAACTTAGATAAATACATGAGATATAACATCAATACATTCTTTATGCATTTAGAAAGTTATTTATTATCTTGTTAGGTACACTAATTACATATTTATGGTCATTAACACATGTTTTTCGAAACAAAACAAATACCACTTACTGGGTCCTTTTCTTTTTTCTGAGGTATATTAGCACTGACAGGCACTAAGACACGTTGCGGGGCTGTCTCATCAGCTGCCAGAGGATCCCGTTGCGATCGGTGCACCAAGTTGAACGTCACGGCTTTCTTGCGATCTATAAATTTCTTTTTAGTCTTCGGCTGGAATGAAATAAGGTTATCTGTTTTAATTATTCAATTTCTTCAAGAAAGTCTCTTGTTAAATTTAAGTAGAGGAAATTTTGATATACTGTACCATTTTGATATAATTTTATTCGAGGAACAGCGTGTTATTGTAATATAAATAGCAATACGCTCCTCAAAACATGTGTTGTTTTGAAATGGCGTACGTCAAAAGAGCGTTCCATAGATAAAATTACATAAAAAAGACAAATGGGATTTGCGTTCGGAAATATGGAGAGGTTGATGAAACGATATTTTATTCCTTTTTCTTTGGCCATAAAATGTTTCACACGTTTCAAAATGACTAAATTTTTGCAATATTTTTGGTTTACAATAAGTTCGTAATCAATCAGCCAAATCTAAATATTTAGTAGCTACAATCACTAAGTGTTGAGATCCAAGCCAAGGTGAAACCAAGCAAGAAGAGGCTTTGCAAGAAAATTAAAAACTTCGCTGTCAATGAACGAACTGTCATAACAAACCAAAATAACCTCAAAAGATGTATTTTGCGAAAAATTCAAACATTTTGTGTAATAAATACGGAAGACTTGTATTAAAATGGAATTACACGAGTTGTGTACGCGTCAAAAGTACGGCCGCACCAAAGACCAAAACATATTCTCACACTATTCTTTCTCCAAAGACCGATTTTCCTACTCGTTCGAATAACGCGATAAAGGAAAATATTCAAAAGGTAAAATAACTTGTAAACCACAAATTCGCCTGTTATTTAGTGTACACGATACTTGATTAACAAATTAAAATCTCTAAAAGGCTCATTTTTCAATTTGTTAAGAATTGCTTTTTTTTCAGACTGCTCAGTTTACAGAACTATATAACTGGCAAAGGCAACACCTTAAAGGGCCTGAGTTCGTACTACATGATGGTCCTCCGTATGCTAATGGAGATTTACATATGGGCCATGCTGTGAACAAGGTGAAAATAAATAAATAATTTTAATATTTTAATCAAATGTTTTTCTTCTTACGTTTCGATCTGTGTACTTTAAAATTTCTATTATGTAAAAGATATACAATTTTAGAAAGATTTTAAAAATATTATTTAAGTCTCTCAAACTCGAAAAATAACATTTAATTACAATTTAAAATTTCATTTCTAATGCTTAACATTCATATTATATTTCGGATCTCCTTTCCAGATAATCAAAGACATAAACAATAGGAGCCAAGTGCTCCAAGGCAACAGAGTGCATTACATCCCTGGCTGGGACTGTCACGGTCTACCCATAGAGCTCAAAGCTCTACAAAAGGCAAAGAAATCATCCACAAACAGCCAAATCTCAGACTCAGTACATATAAGAGAAATCGCAAGAACATTTGCTTTAGAAACTGTTGAAAAACAAAAGGATGCATTTAAAAAATGGGGTGTCATGGCCGACTGGGATGAACAATGCTATTTAACGCTAAATAAAGGATATGTACAGAATCAGTTAAGGCAGTTCCATAAGATGTATAAGTCTGGGTTAATATTTCGGGCATTAAAACCTGTTTATTGGTCGCCTTCTTCCAAGTGAGTTGGTTTTTTTATTAGTTGTGTTAAAATTATGAGTTCTGATTAGTTATTTATTATTTTAGTAGAAATTGCGGGCGTTTACCAGTCCTGTAAATATCCACAATCTGTCTCTATGTAATCTTTTCTTATGCCAAAAATTTTTTTATTGATTTTCAACCTTTAACCTCTTCATGTCTGTGGGTATGTGAATTAACAATTTCTATCATAATAATTTTCACAACTTGAAAGGTTTATTTATTTATTCATTTTATATTCATATACACTTATTTTAAACACAGAAAACTTGGTTTAGATTGCAATAATAATTTGAGTACAATGGACGGTCTTATCACATGCAGCTATTTCTTCTAGACAACCATTTGATGGATTTTTTTAAAAAGAATTTTTATTTATTAACTTGCATTTTGACACCCTTTTTAGAACAGCTTTAGCAGAAGCAGAGTTAGAATATGATCCTCAGTTCAAAAGCAAAGAAGTTTATGTAAGATTCCCACTGGAAAATGTATCTAACATAATCAAAGATGCTGCTAAAGGGTAAGTATTTTAATACCTACTATAAACTTATCATAACGCAACACTAACTAAAATCGCGGGTTACTCACGTGAATATACTGAGAAAAGCTCTACTAGCGACCGCGCACGCTGCCCATGAGGAAGAACCCCTCTGTGGTTCGAAACTAGTAGAGCTTTTCTCAGTATATTCACGTGCGTAACCTGTGATTTTAGTTAATTTAGTATGCCTCGCGATAGTTATTATAAAAACATAACGCAACACCTTTTAATCACCGAAGTAGTAGTCAGATGTCTAGGTACACACTATCCACCCACACACATGCACACACACACGCACATGCACACATACACGCACGCACAAACAAACACAAACAAAGACACACACACACACACATGTTACTCTTTCTGACTAAAAACCAACTCGTTCCTACTCTTGCACTTCGAGCCTAAGCCCCAGTAACCTTTCACGTTCTCCGCGGTTTTAATAAGACTGAAAATCCAAAAGAAGCTATAATAGTATTATGTCCTACCTGGGAATCGAACCCAAAACCCCATGCTCAACAGTCACAAATTTACAACCTCAACCTTTCGCCCAACGACGCCCAATATCACATAGTGTTCAACTCGTTCTTTTCCAGCAAGAACATCTCAGCCATAATCTGGACGACCACACCTTGGACGCTAGTGGCAAACCGAGCGATCTGCTACAATCCTCAGATGAAGTACAGCATTGTGTCTCTCGGTGGAAGACCAGACCTATTCCTAGTTGCCAGTGGACTGGTCCAGCAGTTACAGGAGGTTCTGAAGGTGGAAATTAATGTGGTTGCCGAGTTTGATGGTAATTATTATATTAGGTTTTTTTTTTTTTTTTAAGGGGGGAAAATCATCTAATGACTGCTCCCGCCTGGGCGAGGCGGGAGGGAGTGTCAGACTCTTATTGACTAAAAACCACCCCGTTCCTTCTCCTGCACGTCGAGCCGGAGCCCCGGTTACCCGTTAGGTTCTCCGCGACTCCGAATCGGCATCGGCCTTATTGGGCCCCATCTGTGGTGGTCTGATGGCTCTTTGAGGCGCGCGCGGTACGCGACGCGCCGTACGCTCGGGTCTGTTTCTGGTCGGACGGGGAGCCACCCATGCTCGCCGTCC